GTCTTCCTTTTGGTTCTGTTATTGTGAAGCTTATAGCAACCGAAACTCGTTTAGTCAATTTACCTTCAATCGGTCCCAGGCAATCCCAAAGCACTATGTGGAACATTTCCCGACATCTTTGATGGGTCCGAGCAAGTATTCCAATTTCCACTCGGAGGCTAACCAATGGAAGTCGTGACACAGTGTAACTAAAAAAATGACCAACAACAAAGAATCAAATATATGTATGTATATGAAGATACCGTGAATGGCGCCATTCCCTAGTATCGTATTTATTGTTATTCTGTTTAAAAGTGTTTTGCGACCATGCTTGCCCTACCTTTGCAAAATTCAGCTTGGCAATGGAAAGCCGTGTTCAACGGATTATGTGGCTCTGAGTAGTACTGCAAATCCGAGTTCCACAAGTGAATATGTTCAATGTGGATCAACTATACCCAGTGACGAATTTACAACCACAGGATCGGATTTATACTGGAGTGTCAAAGTGAAAGACTATGAGAGTCAACCGTATTTGAGTATGATTATCAAATCAGGTAATGCGTTGTGATAAGTTATCTTAAAATGCATCATCATTTTCAATTCAATTAGGATCGCGAATTTCGAATATGCTAATGATTCATCTGTGTGCTGCAGTGAACATCCTGTGTACATTCTTTTACGAATGATTTAACAAAGGTAGGTGATATTATTTGTCTTGTAGACATTACATGGTTCTCAAGTAAACCACAAACCAATTTGGAGAGAATTCTTAGGTGCCTGCTTTACACGATACTTTTATATTATCGCGATCTAGTAAGCTCACATCAACTAATACCGGACTCGTTTTTATCTTCTCGGTGACACTACGCATTTTGATCTGTTCCAAGCCTCCAGTTTATGTAACTTGTCTGCAATGCGTTGCAATTGAGTTTCTTACAGAGAGACGATCAGTTAACTAATTTTTCACTTTTCGATGACTACCGATGAGAATGTTGGATACCAAGCCTACGTAAAACGAGGTAGGTACGATTAACAGCAATGCAGAATCATCATATTGTTTTTCCAAATGAGTGTCACCATTTTCGCTTCCACAATTTCGGAGTATATAGCAACCGAATACTTTTAATCAAGTTTCTTTCTACCGAACCCAGTCAATGCCAAAGTATCATGTGGAACGTTTCCTGATACATTTGATGGATCTGAACAAGTGTTCCAATTTCCAGTGGACGGTAAAGCAATGGAACTCGATGTTGAGTGCCAATACACAATTACCAATGATAAAGGATCAAAAATCGAGGCAAAGATCATGCATATGAAGGTAACGTGGATTTCGCCATTCGATAGAAAACTACATCGGTTCGTCACGAACTCAGTTGATATTGTATTTATTCATAATTTGTTTACGTGTGCTTTGCGAACCTGCTTGCCTTACCTTTGCAAAATTCAGCTTGGCAATGGAAAGCCGTGTTCAACGGATTATGTGGCTCTGAGTAGTACTGCAAATCTGGGTTTGATAACTGAACATGTTCAGTGGGGATCAACTGTACCCAGTGACGACTTTACGACCACAGGATCGGAAAGGTACTGGAAAGTGAGTGACGAACTATAGGATTCAGCGCTATTTGAATGTGATTATCAAATCATGTGATGCGCTGATACAAACCATCTCATGTATCAGTCTACCTGAAGCAAGATTGTGACGGCCGAATATGCCAGTGGTTCTCGCGTAGGTTGCAGTGAACAGTCTGAGGGCATACCTCTGCATTTGATTCAAAAAACGTAGGACACATTGGTTTTTTCCTCGTATGATAACGTTTTTTTCAGAATGAAGGAGAAACTTGATTTGGCAGATTTGACAGCCACTTGCTTCAGATATAAAATTGGTATTAGCAGTAATTTACTTCAAATTAGTTATTGTTGCACAATCTGTGTTTCTCTGGGTGGAACCACATGAATTCCATACTGAAAAGTCGACTAGATCTGCTTTTTATTCCTTTGTTAACCTTCTCCCGTTACTTATTTCGGCCAATGGAATGGTTTCCAATTGGCCACACACATTGTTATAAATATTTGTTGCTAAACGAAATTTCATTTCACTATTTTTTTACTTCTTTTACTGAAAAAATTGGGGTGGAACACTACTTATGTCTATGCTTTTCGTCTGATATCTTCTGTTTCTTTAAAAATTCGAAGGTTTGCCGTTTCAGATGAGACAATCTTCAAAAAATCTCAATGGTTAACGATATGAACTGCGCAATGCAGTTTAACAGATGCTTTTTACTACCTCTGTGCAACGTCTCTATTTTTCATCTCCCAGGTTGTCATATTCTCTTTTGAAGATAACGTTTTATACATTCCACATTTAGTTTCTATAACATACAATATAACGTCTCAAGAGGTGTAAACCTTTATCAACACTGCATCGATATTTTAAGGGTTTGGCAGTTATTTTACCAAATGTGTATTTGATCAAATCGTACATATTCCATCTAATGCTCTCCTGAATTGTGTAAAAATACACGTTTGTAAACATAGTCTCAATTTCACGGTCAATACAATGGATGGATATGAAAACTGAGCAGTTTTCTGCGAATCCTGAAACTGGCTTACCAGTGCGCAAAATACTATGAGGACTAGAGGGAGTAGTGTGTGGTAACCGAAGGTGACTATAAAAGTATATTTTACGGGAATTGATCAGACTCGTGAAGAAAACTGATTTTAGTCAGATTTCCCCTTTTTCAACGTTCAGTGACCGCGGCCTCATTTGCGGAACGGAGCATGATGCTATCGTTCACTGAAACGATCATATTCACTCAAGTAGAACGCTTCATACAATGCACGATTTCTGGATTTCAACAACGTTCGCTGATGTACTAGCGGTGGGATATTAAAAACATTGAAATCTGGCATATATTTCTAAATTGAGGGTTGTGTCGCAGGCAATCGTGAATTTCTGTACCCACCTCGTTATTTAGTATGATTATTGTGCAAATTAAAATAGTTAGTTAAGAATTAAACGATTAAAATAAGAACATGATATACAGTATACAGTAAGTGTACGGTCGACCCTGCCATAGTCGATGTTCTACAAAGTTCGTTTTCTGGCCTCGCAAATGGTGAATGAAAATTATTCTTGAATTAGAAGATAACGATGATAGGTCACAACGCATAGACACTCCAATATTATTTAAGCCGCTTGTTGATAAGTTTATTCAGATATGGTGGGTGCTTCGCATCATAAAAAATGCTTGCTTACACCAGCAACTGTCTTTTGGTGTGAAAGAGACTTAATTACATCGGGAGCTTGATCGTAACTGCAGGTGGTTCTGGAGAGGAGAGGACATCATTGGTAAACTTTGACATCTGTGCCGCAACCCCGTCAGTCAAATCTTTAACGGAGTGATGTGCATGTTAAGAATTTGCTTTAAGGCAGCAAAACCAAAGTGATGATTTCATTCAACTCTCTGTATTTCATCACCAATGCCTTCAAAACATGGCTGGTGTCTTTTATTTCTCCTGTACGCCTAGCTTGTCATTTTACTTGCAAACATTCAATCACCAACCGAGATGACGTCTTGAGTGCTTGTGAAGTGCCAGTCTTCTACTTGAAACGGGTCGTTTTTATGTATTCTTCTCCGCTGAATATTTTATCCATCTCTCGCAATGTTTTTGCCCGGTTTACCGTTGAACCAATGCAAGCAGGGTGAGGATAGGTGTTGTTCTTCCAGCTTGATTGCGGTTTTGGTCCGTTCTCAGGTCACTACGTGACCTTTCGTTGCGTCATTCGATCATTAATTTGCATTGTCCAGAGAATATGTCGAGGCTGGGTTCACTTTAATCAACTCAACCAGGTGATGTCCTGTGTATACCTACTCATAGTTTACACCTCTGCCACGGCTTGCACTTACTATATTAGACAGTGGCGGTCAGGCCATCACACGACTTATGGAAATAAAGCCGCAACGGTGGCTTCGTTAAATGCAGGTGGCCTTTCAGGTTGAGACCCGAGAAATAAAATTTGCCGAAGACCTGGGAAACTGAAGAATATAGCTCAGAATAGAAGTTATACGAGCATATGGGGTATCTTTTGTTTGTTGGAACTATGTTCTCTGTACCGGACCATAAGTATCTTGGTATTTCATTGTATCATTGCAGTATTGTGATATCGTGTCTATATCGTGATGAATAAGCGGAGGTATGTTAGAATGGAAAAAATGAAAACGCACGTTTTTCTGCTGCTTACTCAATCCTGTCAAAAAGAACGCATCGCGTGCTTGGGTGTTCATAATGTACAATCACGGTTCGGTGCGCTGTTTAAGACTGGCAGATTGCGATGTTTAGTTATTCTTACCATACATGCTATATATATATGTTATAACTTTATTCTTGATATTCAATGGCGATCTGGTGTCATTCGAAAGTCCTTTTTCGGGAGATCTTTGAGAGATGCAAATTTTGCAAACTTTTAAGATCTACTTAAGTAAACTTCTTCCAAACGTGGATCATCATTTCAAACCATAAATCTGAAATCACTTGTATGCTGAAACGATATTTCAGGAAAGCCTTTACCAGATTTTTGTATGCGTGCATCTTAATTTTAATCGATCAAGAAGCCATTAGAACAATTTATTGAAATATTGACAGATCAAAGTGATTTACATTACTGTGAGCATATGAGAACTTGAATTTAGTAAGGCAATTATCCATCTTGGTTGTCAACACTGTTCATTTTGTGAACTTATTTCGCGTGCCATGTGTTCTTCTAATCTGAATATTTTTCTTCTATATGACGTTGCGGTGTACAGATAGATAAATGCGAAGTACCATTCTCCATTCCATGCTAACAACAATTCAAGCAATGGAATTCCACAACACATTATTAGTGTACGTTTGAAATAGTGATTTATTTGTTATGGGTTGCGATTGGCTGCATTATTCAAAGTTAAGTGACAGGTGAAAACGCGTGTAACCTCATTTGTGAATCACGCATGCAATGAAGGGCAAAACCAGAGGCTTCACTGAAAGAATTGGATTGGGTTTTCAAAACTGAGCGTATCCTCTTAACTTTGATAAAAATGTTTAGTATTGTATTGTATTATGTATAACTTTTGCAAGCACTGGAGCTCACATTTTAGTTTAAAAATCATACACGCCAACCGTCACAATGTACATAATCAACGGGGAGAAAAGTTCTCGCAGGCATGGGGACACTCATAATCCAAGGTTAAGACAAAGTTCATTTATTTTTCGCTCTTTGTGTTTGAGTAGACCAGCCAGATGCGGTATGACTGAATTGCAGTCTGCATTATTTCGAGATGGAATTTAGCTGAATTGGGAGCGTTTTAAATGATGAGAATGAAAAATTGTCAGTTCTGCATCAATGGGTGGTCAGGATCTGTGAGAATCCTCTCGGCAAATTTCACACAGGAAGTTATGTACCACTCTAAAAGCTTTACAGCTAATTCATTCACAGGAACGGAAGAGACCCGACTAATAGTGGTAAGACCTCGTCGTAAGACTTTGAAGTCCTGTTTGAGTAAAACAGGAAAAATAATCGGGGAACATTAGAGTAAGAAAGGAAAAACACATTAATAAACAAAAGTAGAAATAACTGACTGGCATGAGCGAAACTGCCTGAGCTTTCGTTTTTGAAATGATAGGCGCTGCAATTTACCAATACAGTTGTGGATGTGGATTGACCAATGAAGATTGCTATATGGTTACACCAAGATATTTGACGGAGTTTACCCTGGATAAAGGATTATTATTAATCACTGTGGGGTCTGTCGGATATGGAGAGCAAGCAAAACTATATAAACACTCAACACATTTACTGGACTTCAGGGTTAGCCCCGATGAGGAGGAGAAGGACTCAATTTGGTCAAGATAGTCGGTGAAAGAGCTTAGATCAGAGTAAGAAGAAATGGGTTAGCACAACACGACATCATCTGCATACTTCGAATTACGTGCGGGAGAAACACGGGGAACATCACAAATATAGGTGGTACATAAGAATGGGGATAGCACAGCTCCTTGAAGGACCCCGGAGTTGTCGACTAAGGGTTTCGATGTGGCCTTCCCCAATCTAGTGGTTTGTACTCTATCAGCAAAATAGTTGGATAGCCAAGCTAACAACTGCTTGGAGCATTCAAAGGACTTCAGTTTTTGTAAAAGCTTAGATCTACAAATGGAATCAAATGCAGTAGAGTAATCCAGAAAAACACCTCACGGACTTAACAGAACTGTCCAGAGACTTTGTCATAAAATGAATGAGGATAGAGACTGCTTGCAAGGTGGATCTATTACGCTTGAAAGCAAACGGATCACTGGGAATGTTTATGGACTGCTGAAGGCGTTTGAGGATGGCTTTTTCAATCAATTTAAGGGCTAAAGATGTTAATACGTTTGGAGAGGATGGAAAATTTCGATGCTTTGGGAACTGGTATGATTTCGACCGGTCTCCAACAGTCGCAGATAGTAGAATTGTGAAGATATTCATTTACAATGGAGGTAATTGACCCAGCTAGGGAAGCAGCACCAAATTTGAAGAGGGCTAAATATAAGTCATCTAGGCTTGCAACAGAAGACGATTTGCAACTTTTTAAAAGC